TATATATATATATATATATATATCATAAATAAAGGTGAAAACCCATTCATTAGCTTTGACCATACCCACAAAGTAGGGTGGAAAATTAAAGCAATTATCTGACTAACTCTGGCAAGAGTAAAGAATATATATCCTTCCTTGGAAGTATTGCCTTGAATTCTAAAACAAAAAGCAGGTTATAGGATATTTTTTCTGAACTCTTTAGGTAGTTACCTCAGATTTGCTCCATGTGTATTTTTGTTTGAATGCATACGTATAATGACAACTGTACTGTTCTCTGAAAGATTTAGAGCGATGCTATGATTTCAGATCCAGGTTGTTTCTAGGGATGAAGCAATTAAAAGAGAATGAAAAGCCTGGGAAATGTCTTCTTATTTGACATGGAAAGGAGAATGGCTGTGGCCTTGCCTTTTTCATTTACATCTTGAAATCCTATCAAATTTGGTTATTGACCTTTGGACTATTATAACCAAGATCTTACTAGAAGATCCAAAAATACATCCATACACTCTTTTTTAAAAAGCTACCTCCTTTTATCTTTTTCAAACTTAAAAAGGGTTTATTTGTTACTTCATATATATTTTTTCAGTGGTTCTCAACCTTCCTAATGCCGTAACCCTTTAATACAGTTCCTCATGTTGTGGTGACCCCCAATTTCATTGTTACAAATTGAACATAATTAAAGCATAGTGATTAATCACAAAAACAATATGTAGTTATATATGTATTTTCTGATGGTCTTAGGTGACCCCTGTGAAAGGGTCATTCGACCCCAAAAGGGGTCGCGACCCACAGGTTGAGAACCGCTGATTTAGTTTCTACTAATAAATATAAGACTTTAAATATATTGAGACAATTTCTGTTAGAAAGTTTTCATTGTGTAAGGCCACCTTCTTTAATTACAAAGATGAAGAGAGTAAAGACAACAAATAAATGACATCAGTCTTTGTTTATACCCAGATGACATATGTGACATGCATGCTATAACAACTCTTTCTACATCCTGGCAGGCATAATTAATCAATCATGATACTCTTTACCACAAAACCAGGACCCACGCTTAGAATCCTCCTCAACAGAGCATTGCCAGGTGCCACCACCAATTAAAGTCCATACCTGAAACTAAAACCTCGTTGCCATTCCCTTCTCTTACTGGTGCTGAGTAAATAATAGGTGGTTAGTCTACAGGTGATAAAACATAAAAGACCAAAGATGATTGCTATTGTTTAAACCTATCCGCTTTTCACAGGAGGGGTGAATAGCTGGTTTTAGGGCCAATCAATCTAACAAATAGGAGTGTCAGTCACTATGGTAACCATATCAAGTCACTGACCTCCAGCCCATCAGTGTAGTCCTGCTTCCTGCCATGTGAGCTTGAGGTCGGCCAACTTACAGAACCATCTGATGGCTACTTGGACTCAGGTCAGTGGTATAGACCACAAAGGGGTTACACACAGAGGGACAGGAAATAGTCTGACCCACATCTTAGGGCTGCCTGGAAAAGGCAGCAGAAACCAAAGAGGAAAGACAAGAAGCAAATGGTGGGTTGCAAATCTAATAGTCAGGGTTGAGGTAACAGCACAGTCGGGATTGCAGGGTTAACCCTGTGCACTGGGACAGCAGGCAGAAGCCTCCCAGAAGCTGCTGGGACACCACTTCCTGCCTGGAGATCTCGGTGCATTTGCACGTGTGCCCATAGTAACACCAGCCCCTGAGCTCCCTGCAGCACTGTTTGCAGGGCGCTTTCCCTTCAGGGATTTCCTCGGATCCCCTCTCACCTCAGTCAGTCAGCATAGGCAGGCGGGGCAGGCATTGTTATCTCCCATTTTACAATTGAAAGGCACCTCCTTTATCCAAAATCACACAGCAGTCCAAGCCTAAAGTTACTTTCATCTGAAATATCCCCAAAAAGTGTCAGAAGCTGGATATTTTGAATTATTTCCCATTCGAATTTTCAGATAATTGTGCCAGCCCGCTCCATGTGCATGTTACAGAGGCGTTTGCAGTTGAATGGTTAACCAGTTGAGGGTTACAGACAGGATTCGGAATCATTTGACGATGGGCATGCCCTTCTGGGCCCTCAGCCATTGAAAGAGACTTTCTGTTCATTTCTCTAACAGCTGGTGACCCTGTTGCAGATGTGGGTTGTCCCTTTGTATTTCACAATAAAACTTTACTGGTGGCGGTTTCTGTCCATGTGGGGAATGTTCTCGGTTATCACCAGTTACATCCTCTTCAGAGCTACGCGAAAGCCCCTCTCCGGGAGAACACCCCGGTAGGTATTCTACTTGTTTCTTCTCCACCATGCCCTTTATTGTAAACACTAAGAAGTATATTTAATTTCCATTTTCCTGGAAGGGGGGCAAGGGGGGGAGGATGTTATGCTTTTTTTTTTTTTTTGTCTTCAGTAACAAAACTGTTTGGAGATTAGCCATACCACTCTCAGTTCACATTCATTATTTAATGGTGATTCAGACATGCCTGTAAAATTTATTACTTTAGCTATTAAGTAGTGAAGGCCAGGAGAAAGAGAAGTGAAACTGTTAAGTTTTCCAGAGCACTATTTGCATGTTTATTTTTAACTCAGCATTTTGTTTATTCCACTATAAGTTGTCAGGCACATTTTATAACAGAGCAAGAGTTAGAAGTCCGTATTTTTAACAACTCTGCATGAGGTTTATATCATAAGAAATGATTTATTACTCTCATAACAAATGAGGCTTTAATGACCACTGTCAACCTCTGGACATTTATATAATTTCATCACATTATTCACATCTTTCCAAAGTGCTTATAATGTGCCCACAGCTTGCTCTCCCTCTCCTTGTTCTTTAGATAAGATCTGAACCCAATTCCAGCTAAAACTGAAATAGGAGAAAGAGAAAATAAGTAAAGAGTTTAATGGTAATAAGACAATGCCAAATGTTGATCTTTGTTGGAAAATAAGTCATAAACGCTGGTAAAATATTTTTATGATTATTTAGCCATTCAGTTGTTTGTGTTTAATCCTCTAAAAAAAGTGGGAGAGACAAAATCAGCTTCTCCTCTAGTATGAAGAAGGAAAAATATGCTGTAAGAGGAATTAGATCAATACATGTAATGATAAAGACTGAAATTCAAATAAATGAATTTAGGCTTCTGAGTACTTACACTTAACCCCACATTGGGAAGTGCTTGGGGTGGTGTTAGGAGGCCTTCTATACTGGCCAGTCTAAGGTCTTAGCCTGGTTCCCTCATCAGCAAATGGACAGCTGGGACCCTTCCTTCCTACAGAATGTTGTCAGTTATTTAAGATTTGCGATGTGATCTAAGTTTGAAATGTGCTTCTTTTCCTCCCCTGGATATAGTCTATATTGCATCTCAATGAAAGCAGTTCTCTTTTCCAATGCATCATGCATTCCCCTGGTGAAACGCAGTCCTGTGCACATCAGCTCATTCAACGCCCAACTTCACTCCAGGAAATACCCAAGTGCTGCCTTGTTACCCCCATGGCTCCTATAGCTCAGATGGCCGGGGTCCCACACCCTCTGCTTCTTGTGCCCACAGTGCATCCCTGTCTGCTTCTTCCTGCCCGCGGAGCTCTGAGCCCTGCAGTAGTCTCAGGGCCAAGCCACTCCACTCCCATGTTAAGCAGACCCAGCTGCCGCTTGGAGAGAAAAAATGGAAGAGGCTAATTAGGCCCCTTCTCTTTTAGAAAAGCAGTCAGGATACAGAAACTCATTGAGTAGAGGTAATGGGCCTAAGGATCTTTATGGATCTTTGCTTAGTCATCACATTATAGCAAATGTGCATGGTGCGGAAGGCAGATCCCAGAGGAGTGGTCTCCGGCGCCAACGCAGTTTAAAAACCGGCTGTTCCTCCCCAAGAGCACACCAAGCCCCTGCTGAGGGGCAGAGTCCCAGATGAGGAGAAGTGGGTTTCGTCTCTACTCGGTCAGGTTGTCTGTCAAGCAATGTTCAGGCTCAAAAATAGGCCACAAAGAGGTTGGCCTGATCCCATTAAGTGTTTTTGTGGGCACTGCTCTGAAGCCCTACCCCAGTTTCCATCCTGGCTTATCAGTCATCAAATTAACAAGGAAGTTCTGGACTCTGGGAACCTGTACCCCTAAAAGGAGGAAAATTTAGGGGGTGATATTTGGGGGGACTTGTGCTGTGGCGCACCAGGAATGGAACTGAGCGCCAGCCTCCTTCCACATCCTCCCAGGCATGAAGCAGCCGTGTGGCCCACTGCATAGCTTTTTCTAAGGGTTTTACTGCTAGGGGTGAGGGGAGCGAACAGGGTCCAGGGTTCCCTTCTAGATCATCTCTACTCCACCCTCCATCCCCATCCTCTCACTTCCCCACCGAGGCCCTGTGGGAAGAAGAAAGGCCTTAAGAGAGGTCATGGTCAGGGCATCCAAGGAGCAGAAAAAAACGAGGCTGAAGCACTCTTGCCAGTTCATCCCAGGGCTAGGGGAGGGGCTCTGTGATGGAAACGAGGTGGGATGAGGGCTGAGGTTGTTTGCTCTGGGGCAGGGAGCAGCAGGAGGAGCAGGAGGAAGAGTAACTCCTGGAGGAGGTGCAGTCTCCTCTTGACTTCTCCCAACTTTGCTTGTCCCTCCAAGGTACTCCTGCCACAAGCACTCTAAGTTAACTAACCCTGGAGCCAAGTGGGAAAAGGAGGGAAGGAGGAGGCAGGGTCCCAGGTAGAGTAACCATCCCTGAAGGCCATTTTCACTTGAGGAAGATGGGTAAATCACCATGAATTTATATATGCATATACACAGAAACACATGTACATGGTGGCTGATATAATATACTTAAGTTCTTTGTATTACATAATAAAATTTTAGAAACTCAACACTGGCTTATGACAATGTTTGAAAAAGATGGAACACTTTATCCTATATCATGCTCTGTGTTTTGCTCCATTTTTCACTCCACAGATTGGTCTACAAATGGTTTCTTCTCATCTATAAACTCAGCTACATATTTGGTGTTGTGGGTTATTTGGCTATCATATTTTCATTGAGTGGACTTCATTTATTTTTCAAGTAAGTATCTCCCATGAGGACATGAATATCTCCAAGCACTTGCTTGGAACATTCATCTGGTCAAGTTCTCTGTATCTATATCTTGCTTATTTGCCTTTTTAAAAAAACACCCCTCCTTACTCCACCTAGAAAAGAACATTCCAAAGGAAGTTATACAGCTTAATGATCCATGCAAATTATTGAGAAGATACCCATGCATGTAACAACTTTTATGACAAATGAATATTTTTCACTTTCTTTTTATTGATTGATTTTAAATCCTCACCCAAAGAGTGAGGATATTTTTTCCATTTGATTTTAAATAAAGTGGAAGGGATGGAGCTGGGAAAAGGGAGGGAGGGAGGGAGGGAGAGAGAAAATAAAACATTGATGTAGAAGAGACACACTGATTGGTTGCCTGGAACCTGCAACCCTGTTATGTGCCCGTGACTGGGAATTGAACCCAAGATCCTTCAATCCAAAGATCAATGCTCTACCCACTTAGCAACACTGGCCAGGGTTCCAATCTATATTTTCATTGGACGGTACAGCTCTGGAATTTTGTTTCTAGTACCCATGAAATCCCTTTTGCTGGGGACAGTTGGAAAAGGAGAAAAGTGAGTGCTTAGACATTGAAAGGGAAGTAATGAGATAACAGAGCAAGAAAATCTTGGGGGAAATAAAGGAATCGGGATCATTGTATCTATGACTCAGACCAAGTTCCCATTAGGGAGAGGGTGGCTGAGATGTGCTGTGGAGAAGGCCCTCACCGAAAAGCTGAGGCTGTGTCATCAACCTGTGTTCAGGAAAGGGCCTTTCAGTCACACGGCATAGCTATGGACACCAGCTCACACAGAAACTCACCAGATGCCTCTCACATCAAAGTTACTCTGTGGCCATAATAGAAATTGAAAGGCAGAGATTAGCAACCCTTAACTCATAAAATAAGGAGGCGATGGGAGAGAGCGCCAGCCCTGGTGGAAGGGACTCTTCCTATGGCAACAGCGCAATCCGATTTCATAAGCACTTCGTGAAGCTGTCGGAACAGGAGCTCCTACCACTTTCTAGCTGGAAAGGGATAGAAAGTAACTGTACAGATCTGTAATTGCTAGTTTAAGATAGAGAAAGACACTGATTTCTTTCTTTAGCGTACTGTCTTTGAGTGAATGCAAAAATACTGTAAGGGCTTTTATTAAGTCACTTGAAACTATGTTGTCCCAAGGCTATATTATCTCATAAGATTTTAAGATCCTTAACCATGACTGCTCCTGCAACGAGGAATACCAAGGCCTTAACCCTGCAGGTTGGGAAGGAATTATTTTTTCCCTCTGAAGTGTTGATTATCATTGCACTGAGATCCTCTTCCGTGGAGCCATGAGTTTGTTACTATACTTTTTATCAACACCTGCTCCCTTGGACTTGGAGGGAAGATCATCTTCACTCCTCCCACACTCCTAGTTGTAAAGTTACCCAGGCAAATACTATGCAGCAGTAAAACAGAAGGATCTCTTACCCTTTGAGACAGCATGGGGGTACCTAGAGAGTATTATGCTAAATGAAATAAACCAGTCAGAGAAAGACTGGTATCACATGATTTCACTTTATATGTGAAATATTAAGAACAAAATAAACTGATGAACAGAATAGATCCAGAGACATAAAAGCATGGAACATACTGTCGAATCTCAGAGGGAAGGCGGGGGTGGGTAGGAAGAGATTAACCAAAGAACTTGTATACATACATGCATAACTCATGGACACAGACTATAGTGTAGTGAGGGCCTGGGGTGGAGGTGAGGGGGCTACAAGGGGTAAATAAAGCATATATATACTGATGAACAGAATAGATCCAGAGACATAAAAGCATGGAACATACTGTCGAATCTCAGAGGGAAGGCGGGGGTGGGTAGGAAGAGATTAACCAAAGAACTTGTATACATACATGCATAACTCATGGACACAGACTATAGTGTAGTGAGGGCCTGGGGTGGAGGTGAGGGGGCTACAAGGGGTAAATAAAGCATATATATAT